AAAAACAGAACAATCAAAACAAATTCTTAATCAATTCATGGTACTTTTTTCCACCTGAATTTAACTCTTCTTTTATAAACTCGACTTATTTAAATTCCTCCCTTGTGTATGACCGCTGTTGGATTCGGTATTGTCATAAATAATGTTAAGATATGCATCTGCTGTTGGCTAAAATAAAAATATTCGGTCAGTCACTCACTTCCATTATAATTCATCGAACTCCATATTTTGTTTTCTTCTTTAAAAAAAATCCTGACGAACAACTTCCCGTCTTATACAAAGTCAACAAGACGGGCTCCTCCCACACCTCCACTCTCTTCTGTCTGCCGCGCGTCACTCGGTTTTTGCTTCTCAATTTCGGCGCTGAAGTCACGTATAACGACTTTGAAGTGGCTGTTACCTCTTTCATGGAAGTCCTTCACGTCTTCGTAGAATAATTCCACTTATTCTTTCAAGAAGTTTGATGTCGGGAAATATACTTGAATTATATTTTAAAGTTCACATTTCCTGGTGACGTTGAGCATTAGTTTAGTTTTGATACAGACGTCTGTTGATCGAGTCCATGAACCAGACGAGACTGGTGGCGGCAGTAGGGCCCCCTGGGAGGTAGAAGAGTGTTGGTGTAAACAAGTAACTTACCCTCGCACCAAAACCGTCACTATTATGGGTAGGGAGAGCGTAGCAGCATCAACACCAGCCTCTCACACAAGGAAATCAGGGATCGTTCCTAACTTAGACTATATATATATATATATATATATATATATATATATATATATATATATATATATATATATATATATATATATATATATATATATACTGTATACCCACACGCTATATTCTTTTCTCTGAGCCTCTTTGTCCGAAAATTATTTACAATGAGGGGAGTCATTATATCCCTACGCATAAGATATACTTTATACAAACAATATAATTTTAACATATTTGAAGTTCACAACGGAATTTTTTTTTCGTGAAACAGTCAGTCAAAAGGTTCTAAAAATAACCACAAAATCAACTTGTTTTTATCGACGCGTCTGACGCCTACATAAAAGGTGGCTATAGAAGCCGCTGATGATGTCCTGGAAAACATGTTTGTGAAAAAAAATTGAGAAGGTGACAGAGTTTGTTGTAATGCTCCTGACGACGAGACTAACGATGGTAACAAAGTCGTATACAACAGGCTGTGCGATGCGATGCGACTGATACTGTCAACAAGTGTAAGAAATTATTCAGTCAACCGCCTTCTGTAACATTCTCTATCCTCACGTGTGTTGCTCCTGGCACACTTCAGGTTAACTCTGTTTCCCATACGCTGTGTACAATGGCTTTTAGTAGTTGTAAATACAGTATTTCCCATGGGATCATATGAAGATCAGCATCCCAACTCTTACCTGAAGATTAATTACGCAAATTCCAACCTGACCAAACCCCCAGATAGTATTAGGGTGCTTAATCATCAGGTGAAATAAGATGGAACCTAATCTGCATAATTATAATCCTTACTATATGTCTTGTAGGGAATTCTAAAACAACCTCCTACGACCTTGGTGATACTCCTACACTTCCATTATCACCATACACCCTATCACGCCCAGGTCACCACATATCCTAGCTCCAACTTCTTCTAGATCCTTCAGGACTCTCTAAATTCTAAATCCTTCTAATTTTCCTCAGAATATCTTTCGTCTTACTAATTGCAGGTGTCCTCAGTCCCATAACTCCTCCAAAGCACAGGTGATCCTCCCAACTCTTATTAAACATTGCTAACTTCTCCTCTTTCTTTTCTCTTACCCGGCCCAAGTGGTCTACCTTCTGGTACTTTATTCCCCTCCCCTACTTTTATATTAACATCTCCCATTATAACTGGACATTTCTTAAATTACATAGATTCTTTTATCACCCCGTTGTCAGAATCACTTTACGCTTGTGTTGTGTAAAGGTGGATTTATTTACATGAGGTATTCTGGTCAGGTACTAGAGGCGAAGGAGGGCCATACGGACAGTCCAGTTACTTAAAGCCTTAAGGATGAAGCCTCCCAAGGAATGATTATGAGTCTACCACCAGGAGTCAGCGCTGGCAGGTGTACGTGCACGTATGCTGATTTATTACACTTCCTGTGCTTTCTCAATATCCTGTCGCTTGACCTGATATTTGCAAAAGTGATAGATAGATCAAATGCTGCTTCCTGACCATTACTTATCCCTGATAGGCCTAAAGATATTCAGATGTGTTCTGTTTATCGTTGTGATTTCCAGTGTCTTTGTTTTTACGATAAGAATGTAGTTTAAAGGTAATAAGACCAGTTGTTAAACTAGCTAAAAGTTTCTTTGATTTGAAATACGTCACAGAAGAAATTAGATTAGGAATCTTAAGAGAACTTTTATGCCTTGACTCGGGACCGTCATCACACACCAGAGGATAATGAAAACATAAACCGTGTAACAAAGCAAAGGCGGCATATTCTCATCTCTGTACGTTCTCCACTAAAGCTTCCTGGTGAACCCCGCCAAATGTTTCCACGTGACAGCTGGTGCAGAGGAAACTTGGCAAACTGAGATAAAAGTTAAGTCAGCAAGCGGGTGTTAGCTGAGCAAATTGTTGGCGGGAGAGTATATGAGGGAGACCCGGAAACTCCCACACCACGAACATGCTGGCCGTCTTTACCGGCAGGCATGAAGGTCCACGAGCTGAATGTTTATGAGAATTTTCCGAGAATCTCCACTATGTTGCAAATATCTTCCGTGCAAGCGCTCTTAGCGAAGGTCTTTTTGTCTTTTTATTCCCTAATATTTTGTTTAGTCCAAATTAAAAATTTTTTGATGTTAACCTTTGCTGCCATTTCGAAGTGTGTTTTGTGTAACACGGGAGGAGATGCTTCAGTCCCCGGGATATTTTGGGTGCACGTAGTCACCCAAAAAAATCCTGTCGCGAACCATGAACCCCGAGATTCAAACTCTTGAAGCATTTATGGACAGAATAATGTATCAGTGTCTACTGCTTCGGGTTCACGAGTCTGAATCTCGGGGTTCGTGGTTCGCGACAGGACTTTTTTGGGTGACTACCTCAGCAGCCACGCCTTGGGTGTAACCTCTAACGAAAACAATGTACTTTCGAGGAAATACCTTCAGGAATCAAACCATAACGCTTGTGAAGATAGAGCTAGACGAAAAGTTTATTTAGTAGTGATAATGAACGAAATATCAGCCACACACACTTAAGAAACAAATTAAACAACCAGTTTCCTTACCTTTATGAGTTTCGCCAAGTAATTTCAAGGCAATTACACATTTGTCAACTAATAACCCTGGCAGACAACTCACTATGGCCAGTTTCGCTATCTGGTAGTACAGTAGCCATGACAGACAATGAGACAATATACTGTAGCCAAAATTCCACTATTAAAGTAATCAAGGAATATTTAATAAGGAAGTTCAACTGACACATTTATTTTCAAAAAGTTACCGAAATTTTACTACAGCGTCACCTGTTACTTAGGGAGTGTACTACTCAGAGGGAAAGGATTGGGTAAACTAAAAAAAAATGCTACTCATAGAAAACGAATCTAAAAGCAATCATAGAAAACGATTATTTATTTATGAGTAACTATTTTTATTATAGTTAGAGCCAATGGCTCAATGTGACGAGATTATGTTAATACTATAGTAATGGCATACGTTTTATTTTAGCCAGAGCTACACTGTTCGGTAATGTTATGGTCAAAAATGTCTTAGTGTGGCCAAATGTTACACTGCGGGTTTTTAGGGGACTAAGGCAGTACAATGCTGTGTGTACGTCTATGAAACAGCTGATGGGGATTGCGGTGATGTACAGAAAGATTAGAAATAAAGAATGATAATAAAAAATAATAATAAAATGAAGTATAAACTGATAAAGATACAAATAAAACGAGACCAATATACTCCATAAGAAGATAATTCCAGGAACACTCCGTCTGTTAATCACAGAGGTCTCGCCATTGTCCTATACTGTACTAAATGGTGTCCTCTTTTATTCCAGGGAAGATCACCATAATGTAAACTTCACTCAGATTTAACAACAAACTATCGTCGAAATGGCAAGAATACGCCAACGCCCGTCTGTCTGAGAGGAACTGAGGTCATTACTTCAAGGTTGTAGCTCGAGTAAGTTTATTTACATACAAATTGCACATCAGTGTCTCATCACTCTTGCTGCCACTGGTTCTGCTTTCTTGAAACCACTCCCAGAGTCTCTTTCATCCGGACAATTTTACCGATGGTCGCATGAGGATGAAACTAATGCCCGATATCATCTGGCTATCACCAATCTTAATCTCTCTATAACTGTGTGTGTATCCCGTGTAATTGGCCGGAGATGGGCTGGTCCCTCCCTCAAGCCTTCCCACCTCCTAGTACGTCTGATTATTATTAAGCTCCTCCCACAGGCCGTCTCAACTCCCATTGTATTTGGATGGAAGGTTCCTGGGTTCTAGACTAGCCATCTCCTGACTTAAGCTTCCCAGCTTGAGGTGTATGATTCAGTCTCTCAGACTGACATGGGTTTGTCTATTTCACCCCCAAGATTTGTATATCTGCTGTCTTGGGCTGGTACCAAGACAAAACGTGACAAGGACATTTCCCCTCAGACTGCAGCCTCCACAATAACTCAACCCACCATAATTGCTACTGCAGGATAAATTTGTTTTCCCAAGAGTATAAACAAGAATGGCATAGTTAGATTGTGTTCTAAGAATTTGTCATGTTAATTTGAGAAATAAAGTAATCCCCATAGGTGTAAATGTGTTCTTGTATAGCTAGTAACATAAAGGTAACCTGTACTGTACTTAATATATGCAGAAATTAAAACCCAGGTTTCTATAGGATTTGCAAATGCTCTTTATTGTTAACAGGTTGTTCAATTACAGTACAGTAGTATACTGTATGCTGTTCAGGATGTGCTGTACAGTATATGTGTACAGTAGATGGAATCATTATCAAAATGAAAATACAGTATATTGTTTTTCGGTCACATTTATTTGTTTATCATCTTGATATTATTGATCAAGAAATAGACTAGTGAGGAATAACTAAAAAAAATTATAAAATTTCTAGTTAAGAAACCGTACATCTTCTTTTAGGTGGGTAATATTCCTTCATTTGTGGTCTAGGTCTTTTTCTCACTCTTACAAGCCTCTTCCTGATTTAGTGCAAATTGTCCAAAATCAACAGTAAACACAGTCTTTCACATCATTCACTGTCATTCATTCTTGGATTGCTGTAACAGATGTACTCAGCTATAGTGTTCTCCTTCTACAACAAGACCCCAGAATATCAGTTTGAGTTATCCCACTTGCTTCACACAACCTAGTATTACCCCTCTACTTTGAAGAACTACATTATATTTAGTGAAAATGAGGACTGACAAAACTAAATTTACAATACAAAATTTATTATATTCTACACATCACTTCACAAAATTGGGAACCTTATCCTCTCTAAAAAAAAACAGTTTGCTGCCAGTGGCTTCTTTGGTAAATAAGAGGAGAAAAATCTTGTGCTTACAAAATTAAACCTATTCTTCTAACAAGTCACATTACATCTTTGTAAACTCATTTACTAACCCATCACACATTTTCAATACACTGACCATTAATCCATGTCACACATACACAGTATATATTAGTGCAGATTACACATATAAAATATATACTTACCCATGCTACACACAGTATTGTACATACCAACCTACAGTATGTCACACAATTACACAAAACTGTACACAATATATCAATCCATGTCACAGAAAACATGAAAGATATTAACAACTATTAAACATACATAGTACAGTACTGCATATACAGTATTAATCAACATCACACTGTATACAGTTATTTTAATCCACGTTACACAAGAAAGTTAGAGTAGGTCCTTTAGGCCTGATAGCCTGTTAGGGGCAGTGCAGATGCAAAATACTGTGGACTAAGCTTAGTCTACAGAAACCTAAGTCTGGTCTACAGTGTATGTCACGTATACATAACACAGTATATAATATATATATATATATATATATATATATATATATATATATATATATATATATATATATATATATATATATATATATATATATATATATATATATATATATATATATATATATATATATAAATATTAACACATGTCACACATGCACAGTACATATTAACCTTTAACACACACACACACACACACACATGCAGTACAGGTACACAATAACATGTCACACACATACAGTACATAGTAACCAATGTCACATATACAGTACACTCTGCAAGGTAACCCATGTTACCCATATCCATTACTTAAAACCTGTCACACATACACAGTAAAGCCTTCCACCACACCCTCATTCTTTTTGTGTCCTCTTTTTTTGCTACCAGTATATCTCCTTTTCCCCCTTTTATTTCTCTTATTTGCAACTGGACATTGTTTTATCATCACATATCTCATGTTCAAATTTCCTTGTTTTGCCTCTTCAGCCTGTTTACGAGCACGGTACTCAACCCATCGATTCTTGCGGCCATCCACCTTGGTCACTTTGCGTACCTTTATGGCCGCTTCTAGCTCTTGCAGTTGACTAAGTGCAATCTTCTTCTCTTCATCAAGATTTCTCCTGGTCCTTCGAGCACCCCCTGGCAGTTCGGGTGGGTGTAGGGTGGTTCCCCTTGATGCAGGGCTGACAGAGGTACCGACGGAAGTCCGCCGTGTAGAATCATGTACCAGAATGGGACTTGTACCAGTGGAGACACCTCCACGAGGCTGAGCAACAGGAAGTATTATGATCTCATCATTGGTGGGAGAACTGCCACCCTCCAATGTGGCAGCAGAAGCCATCATGAGCCACAAGCCTCACAACAACCCTCTGAACCACTACACTTGCAATGCCTACACCACAACCTGCAAACAAAACAACACAAAAATCAATATTTTGATAGTAATTTAATTTAAGTTAGAATCATTAAAAGCAAACTTAACCTGCATACTTTCTTCTTATTTGTAGTATTCTCCAAAGCAGTACAAAGGCTTTGTCAAATAAAATTAAATTTGCTACATATAAACCTTAAAGTTAACAAGGACACTGTCATACTACATTAAAGAGAGAAAAAAAATTTTGGACATTTAGAAATAAGAAAAAATGAAAAAAAAAATTCAAATAAAAATTACACAAATGAAAAAATAAATAAAATAACCTTAACAAAACAAAGGTTGATGGAAAAACTAACAACAAAAATCTTCTCCCAGCATAAACTATCAAAGCATCACTGACCACCTAATGTGCTCAAAGATTCAATTGATATAATTATTTGATGAGGACTAAAGTGAACTTTGTTGAAGGGGAATATCAAATTAGCACACATCTGTTGCTAAAATTAGGAAGAGTAAATGAAAGCCAATGATGAAAGACTGTCGATCTTGATTTTGATCACCCTGTACTGTTAAGAAAAAGGGTTTGTAAAACATAAGATACAAGTACAGTACAGTATACTGTTTTCTATATAAAACATACACAATGATGAATGAAGAAATACCACTGCATCACTTCAAGGTCATAATTTTCCTTTCTCTTTTGATACCATAGATCTTTAAGAAGTAAGGCATAACAATAATTCTACAGGAAAACTCATAGAAATTTTGGTTACAAAATTTGAAAGATAACTTGCTATCAGTGAAAGCTTAATATCAATTTCTTTAAGTACTGTACAACATTTGTCGGTATTATTGCATAAGACATCCAGTACGGAGCATGGGCAAATTGGTAGCTATGTGCAATCAACAGTTTAGATAATTTTAAGACACTTTTCTTCTATGATGTTAGCCTCACAAATGACTTAAATATAGCGGGTAGGTTAGGTTGGGTAATTTTAGGTAATTTACGAGGGAAACATCATAGAAGAAAAGTGTCTTCAAATTATCTAAACCATCAGAAAAACACATCGCTCAACTCAAGAGCCTATTGGTTGAAAATGCAAATTTACCCATTTGTTTTTTAACATGAACAATGAAATCATTGTATTGTGTGTCCTAAAAGCTTTATAAGTATTTTCTGTTTAATATGGCAGAGGGTCAGGGGAGTGGAGGTTAATGTATAGGACTAACCCGAGGACGAGTTATTTTTATTACTGTTTATTTTCTTACATTATTTTCATCAGTGAGTTCTGATATGATTGTCATTTATTGTGGAAATTATTTGATTCATAGATAATTAGGTGCCTAGACTCGCGCACTAGTTTATCTTGCTGGTGCTTAACCGAGGCGCTTTTACCGCACCCGGGGCAGTTTGTTTTTCAGCATGTCGTGTGAAGGTTGTCGCCGGTCACACATGTACGTAATTTGCGAATTTAGGGATAAAGACGAGACCCTTCAATTGTTCAAAGACCACAGCGTTGTTCCTTTAAATAGAGACTGTCCACTCTGCGGGAATTCCTGTGCTTTGAGACCGGAAAGAAATTTGTTAATTACTTCCTTAACGCCGTGGCTCGACGTATCCTGTCATCACAATAAATCACTCCACCACCATGGCTGCATAGCGCCAATGCGGCTGTATCATCTCACGTCCAAAATGCCTCAAATTTCACCATAGGGGTGGAGCCCCCAGGTAAGAAAGTTAGGTAAGGTTAGGTAGGTTTGTTTGGTTAGGTCTGTTCTTCATACCCAGAAATGTTAAGTAGCTTTTATTTTAAAAATATCCTTTTTTTAACATATTTCCACAAACTACAACAGTGTCCACTATAATATAACAAGTGAAAATCCGGTGTTTTAAAAAAAAATCAACCAATTTCGCTCGTAGGTTAGTCCTATACAATTACCGGAGCCCCTTGGTTAGGAAGTTAGTTAAGGTTAGGTAGGTTTATTTGGTTGGTTAGGTCAGGTCAGGCTCTTACTACAGTACAATAATAAGAACATATTGTGAAAAAAAAAGAGAAACAAATCCGTAAACTTTTTCTGATGGTAGCAGTGTTCTCATACATTATCAGCTTGGTGGTAAGGTCAAACATCCACAAATAAGGTCACACCTATATCACTCATTGTAGCCATATGCCCTCAACCATTTTCATTATTACCAATTACCGATAACATAATACTAATAATAATCGAATACCAGACTTAATTACCCCCTTCGTTAATGCTCACATGACACAATTATACGAAAAAGACAATTTAAAAGTTCCAGATATAACCAGTGACCAACCAACAGTTCAAATACGTTCTAAACCTAAAATTACCTACTTAAGCTATCAAAAACTTACGGTGGTCATTTTGAGGCATCAGCTTACTCTATTCATCACCTAGAATAAATTTGAATTAAGTGGTTTACAAGTAACAAATTAAAATGATTAAGCTTGGCGCACCTCCACCTGTTAGTAAACACTGAATGGTCGGTTATTTTGTGGGTCCTCTCTCTTCTCCATAAACTACTAAACCAACCAGACCAATTAAATGTACTCAATTCACTTTAATATTAATATCTTTAAGGATAATTCTATAGCATGGATATATATATAGTTTAAGGTGTATAATCTCCATGAGGAAATTTGTGGTTGTAACAGAATTATTGTCGAGATCTTTTTAATTTATCTATTTCTTCAATAAATATATAAAACAATAAAGCACTGATACGAAGCTTTATATTGCACATGCATTTAATACATATAAGTTATCCTTACTGCAGGAATATTGGTGTTGATTGAGACTATCCCTGTTTGGTCTTCGCCTTACAAGAAGACTGTAATAATCGATAGGCAGGGTGGATTGTAGATATTACCACTGAACACAATAGGGAAACATTTGTCACAATAAAACTAAATATCATATACCTATGTGCATATATTTACAATCTGGGGCAGGTAAAAGGAAAACCTTCATCTGTACAGTACGGGTACAGTATTTTGCCCTCAATTAAAAAAAAAATGGGGGATTAATTGCTCATTCCAAATTTGTTAAAATGTTTTCTGATTGGAAACTAAAGATCATTATTTGTCAAGTAATGAGATAAAACAATAACAATTATACCAATAAAACTACATCAATTTACATTCTATAATGTGGGTGGGGGAAGGGGGGAGGAATAGCTTTGTTGGGAGCTAAAATATTGATCACCATCCCATATCACCTTAGCAAGATAGTGTGCACAAGCTGTTCAAAAAATCTAGAGAATGGCAAATGGGAACAGCAGTGAGAAAAAAAACGAGATTTGAGAATTATAAAGTATTGTATACCTTCACATACAGTATAAAGATCGGAAAATGCTCCTTCAACTTTATAAATCTTTTGTGTGTCCCAGTCTGAATTGCTGTACTTTATACAAGCATGAAAACCTTACCTCCAGAAAGGCCTAACATCCCTAGAGCAGGTGCAACACAGAGTAACTAAGATGATTCTGGAACTATATCATCTCAATTATCCAAGTAGATTGAGGGCCTTAGGAGAAACAACTCTTCACACAAGACACAATAAGGCAGATCTCATGGAAACATTCAATACATTGAGGATGGACAAATATGTACTTGGTGGCTAGACCATGAACTTGAACGATCAGCATGCCCAAGATACTTCCCTGTTGAACCTGTTACTCTTCAAAAAGGGAGACTGGAAGGAACGGTTTCTATTAAAAGCTAGAAATTGAGACATGCTACACCAGCATCTATACACATTACCTTCCAGTTGTTCTATTTTCTCAACAACTACCAAGTGGGAGAAATGGGCGATATACAAGCAGCTTGGTTACACTGTCATAAAATGGGTTTCAGGATCAATCCCCATTTATAAACTAATATCCTAAAGCTGGGCAGTTCACATATTAGACGCTATCTAGAACCTGGGAGGTGGTGGTCCTATAAATATTACACTAGTACTGTGATATTTACTGGATGTACAGTATTGTCTTAATAATTTTACGGAAATTCTAAGTTTGAAAAGTAGACATTCACACTAAGGAGAGATCTAGGCATAGCAGTTATTGAGAATGAAGGCCTCATTCAATGTTATTGACAAAGCAGATGCACTTAATGAAATTGATCTGGTAATGAGCAGTTAGTAAAAAAAATATATTTACCATAAAGCAGTTTTAAAATCAGTCTGTTATTTAAAGACAGAAAAAATGATTACCATCAATAAAATAGTGTATCCCTTGAACTGATTACTGCCAAAGTCTACAAATTTCTTCCTCTACCTCTATAAATGAAGTCCTACAGTATTGAAATGCCCAAATAAAACTGAAGTTACTGCCTTAAAATCAAGACTCAACTACTATTTCCGAGAACTTCATGTGAACAAAGAGGGCTGCTGGTCTCCATATCGATTTAAAACAATTCACATTAATTTACTCATCAAGTTGACATGACTGAAGGTTTTTACTTCCTCTCTGCAACACACTGGTCAGGACATTTGCCCTTGATGAAGTTAAAAGACCCAAAGAGAATATGAAGAGGCACTGTAATAAGAGATCCCTGTTTTATCTACTACAGTCTGAATCAAACTACAGTAATGGGAAAAACTGATGTGATTCTGATTAAAAAAGAAAAAATACAGATTGACAAAGATCAAATTAAATAAAATAAAAAATTAATATCACATAAATCCAGACAATGTATCAAACTAGCTCACACATCAGTTGAATCAGTGTAGTCTTCAGTCAGATCAGTTGAATCAGTGTAATCTTCAGTCAGATCAAAATGAAAACCCAGAACATGCTTTTATTATGGAGTTAGGTTAATAATAATAATGCACTACAGTATAAATTGATAATTGTTTATTGAACATCAATACTCAACTACATACAAACTGTAACTGCATTAAATGACACAAGATGTAAACCTTATCAAGCTACTTTAGGATTACACATTTGTGCAATGGATAGTGTTTCCAAGACTGCAGCACAAAGTAGGGGATAAATGTCCAATCATGACCCTTGTTTTCCAGTGTAGCAAAACAGATTCACCATACAGTATACCATTCTTGCATAAAATGCTCAGTCATATACATAAACCTACACGCATACAAATAGAGGTGACTGGTCAGACAGGAACTAATCCTAATGGACCCCAACCTAACCATTAGGACCAAGACCAGCCCTAATGGTTAGGTTTGGTTATGTTATGGTCTATAAAGAATGGAGGCCAGTTAACCTGCAACCCAAATAGTTTAGGATTTTGCCAAAATAAACTGAACTAAAATAATCTAATGAACATCAAGAGAAGCATGAGTTACAGCCAAGCCAAGCATTAAGATACTAAAGTTATATAAACATAAGAAAATGAAATTCTCAGAAAAAATACTTGTACACAGAAATGCAAACTTAAACAGGAGCATGTACACTTCTTTATGGAATGCAAATATTTACATACCTATATCTGGCTAATCATTCAATAAATACTAAACTGTGAGAAAATAAACTCTGTAGTCATACAGAAAACAACACTACAGTTTATTAATGCAACCAGATGAAAAATGTAAAGTTTACATGACAGATATAAGTTTGAACTAACTGGGGATTCTTGTTTAAACTTTTATCATTCAAATCCTTTTTATCAATCTGAAGAGAAAGAACTATTTTTAACATAAATCCACTTAATGATGCTCTGATTGTTAATGTTTAATGGCTTGTGTCTGACTGCTGCACTTAAAATAATGTACAGCCTTTGTTTAATTTATCCACATAGGGCATACAGTTGGGGGAAAATATTCTGCCCATATTGCTGCAGCTAGTGGAAACATGCGGCAATTCTCTTGAAGTAGTAGTAAACTTATAATTTATGAATCAGAAGTGAAAATAAGCAAGTGGTTTCATCCAAATGCCACCCTCACTATAGCTCAAAGCTGGTTCATTTATAAAGGTTTGCTACGTGCTCTGTTTACTACTACGAGAGGGTTGCCGGATGTTTCCACTGGCCAAATAATGTGGGGCAAAATATTTTTCCCCAATCAGTTAAAACACAAATACTTCTAAAACCAATTAAAATTCAATCCATAATTCCCAACTTTTAACTACAGTACAGTATTATTATGGTCAGCCGCACCCTACACACATGGGAACCAAAGGACCAACAGTGCATCATGATCAACTCTCCAGGTCGGAACTTTTCACACCAACATTATAATGAGTCAAATTACGCAAACTGCACAGGAATCACTGAATTATTCCCAATAATGCTGGATCATAGACAACAGCCTCACAGTCACCGGGGGAAAAACATCTGCATCAGGAGCGGATTAGTAGAACCACGCTCTATAAAAAGTTCTGACATCTCCCTGAATATTTAGCATTATTTGTTTCCTACACAAAATCATTCTATACATTTCCTTACTTATCTATGGTTTATAAATTTTCTTCATTCAGTATGTAAAATTTAAGAAGAAAATTTTGATATGTACTCGGAAGACATTAAACACTAATAAATGTACAGTTTGAAATAAAAAGCCACTCTAGAAATTAGTAGAATCACATGCAGTTCAAGCAAACACTAATTTCTTGAACAAAATCGTAGAAAATCAGTTGAAATATGTAAAGAACTTACAAAAAAAAAAAAAATAGACTGAAAGGTCAACAGAGAACTATTAAATAGAAATACATACTAAAGACAAACAATATTTAGTACTGTTTACTCAAAATACTTCTGATAATTCTGGGTATTAAATATGAAATAACAGAACGAGTCTAAGGAGGTAACCGACCAACTGAAGAGAACAAACTGTTGTGAATGTCAAGGAGAATCTTTACTCTATTATAAGGCGAGTTATTCTTAAATGAACAATATCTTTTCAATCACATTTCTCAGCATAATTCCATGGGATGAACAGGCAATTAAAAAGAGTGAAAAAAATGGGTTCTCACAACTAGCTACAGTTTTTCAGTAATCATTTATATAAATGCATGGATATCTGTTAATGCTATTGCTTCACTGTTAGTGTATAAAGTGCAGGTCAAATGGTCCTCAAGTCTTCATACACTCTGAACCTAACCCAACTCTTGATTCGGGCCTATTTTGGACTGGGCCCCAATCCTAATACAGAACTGTAGACACAATAGTTTGGGGACCTATTAAGATTGGGGCCCATTTAACCAATTCTATTTGTATTCATAGTTACTGGGATGTAAACAAACCTAAAGACAATTCCTATAAGCCTTTTCCCAGAATAATGCAGGATAGCTGGAGCCAAGAACATCACAGACTCTCCCATCATTCACTGTCCTGCATTCTCTACAACTAATGTAACAGATATGCTCTACATCTAGTGAGAAAAAGTGACAGTGAATCACCAGAGAGCTTGTGGTTAATAATCTACATTTTGTGGCTGATCATACTTGCGGTTTCTTCATTGAGAAAACGAGAATCTTGGTGATATATGATTAAGAGAATGATTGATGACGAGGTGAAAAGGAAATATCATAAAATAAGAGAAGAGACAAACAGTAAATTCCACTTCCTCAAACCATCCAGCACTGTGCTGTATATACCAATCACATAGTGTCGGTACATGGCTGGGAAAACTAGGCAATGAATGGTTTTGGAAGATGGACGTGCTACTGTTGTGCAATGCTTGGGTGATGTATAAAACGACAGAGGTAAAGTAAGCAGTCACGAGCACTGGAGTTAAGGGAACAGCATAACAGAACATTTGCCTCCAAAAGTTTGTAGGAATCAATAACAAGGAATTATGGCAGTGTCTGTAATGCCCATGATTCTATCCATCTTGCACCTCAGCAGATAAAGATTTGCAATAGAGGAAAAAAAAAGAAGTATTTCTAAATTCTACTACTAATGGTAATGGTGCCTCAAACAGCAAAAGATGAAAAGCATATTACTGAGAAGATGAGGAAAGTATTTCAGTAAAAATTCTGTTTAGCTCGACAGTCTTACATCTAATAATATTTTGATGGATTCTTCAACAAAAGTTTTTTTTTTTTTAAACACAGAATGCAAATGAGAGAGAGATAGAATATGTGTGTAAACCACTAAAGGTACATACTACATGGATCAACCAAAACTACTTCAAGTATGCTATGTTGTGGATACGTTTGGCTGGATCGTGTTATCAGTTTCAAAGTACTTTTCAATCCTGCTTCTGCCTTACTGCCTGATAGGAACTAGATTCTAATCATTAAACTTAACTGGCTGAAGATCCCAGGAAAAGACCAAAAGAATAAAAACCAGACTGTAAAATAAACCTTTACTTGTTATTTGTCATAATTTCCTCAAACTTCACACACACATCAAAGATTATTACATGTTTTTATTTGATTTTTTGTTTCTTTTTATCCTGACACCAGTTTAATCCTAACCTTAAATTTTATATTTTGGCACTACAAGTAAAATAAAATTAGGAACATTCTGAAAATACAATATTCAGTACTTCTATAAGAAGATATGCAATTACAAATATGTAGCTGCCTAGTACGATTACCAAGCATACCACAAAACACTACAACTTACAAAAATTCTACAAAAAAGTCGGTAAAAACACACATACACACACGCACACACTTGCACATCACTTCCTTATGATCAGAGTGAGGTAGGCTCTTACACAGTCACCACTCCACAGATAAGGAGTTTCTTACATTTGGAAGAGAAAAAAATCGTTAAAGCATTTCTGGAGGTGTGCTGACAAGAACAAGGGTAAAACACTTTATTCTGACAGCCTTTCCATTCAATTTTATAAAGTTAAAAGCTGGAAAGTAATACCAGCAGCAGAAGTTCAGGGAGCATAATGGCAATACTTAATGTTCAAAGTCACCAGATAATTACCATTCTTTTAACAGATGGGCATAAACATAGTGTATACTTTCCATTGATAAGTACTGTAAACTTTAATATAGGTAGTACAGGTTGACAACCCTTTATCCGAAATTCCAAAAACCGAAAAGCTCTGAAAACCGAAAGTTTTTTTTTTGTGGGGCATTTTTTTTTTAAACAGGGATTAGCCCACCCGGGCATAGATCACTGACCCACATCGGGGCCTGGGGAGCGAAAATGTAATAGTAATATTAATTATAATAATAATAATTATTCATAGTAAATAAAAATTTTAATAAAAAATACACCAAAATAAAATAATAATGATAACAATAATAATAATAAAATATAATAAAAAAATTATTAATAATAATAATAACAATAATACGGTAATAATAAAATAATAATAATAATAAAGAAATACAAGAATGAAAAAAGATCAAAAGTGAGAAACACGACCTAGACCTATGAATTATTATTATTATTATAATTTTTATTCTATTTCCCCCCCCCCAGGTCCCAATGGGTCAGTGACTTGTGCCCGGGTGGGCTAAAAAAAAATCTGAAAACCGAAAAATTCCCAAAACCGAAATGCCTCTGGCCCCAAGGATTTCGGATAAGGGATTGTCAACCTGTAATCTCATAAGACTGAAGTATAGTATCTGTACGAGACTTCAGTATTTTAAAACTTCCACAGTAATGCCTCTTTTTTTAATTACTAACCTGAAGGACCCTGGAACCATCATGGTCATACAAAAACAATGATTTGTATAAAACTGTGAAGCAGACTTGAGATGTTCAGAGAAGTATTTAGTACTTATATGTAAAGGAGTCTCACATTTCATCAAATTTTGTGTTCAACTTTTGGGTTGATTTATACATCATACCTTGCTATGAGACTTAATTACACATCAAGTTTTCGTATTATTTGAGAATATTTATACAGTATCTGCCTTTAGCTTCAGGTTAGACTTACGAGCTGTCATGTACACTATTTTGAGCAACGTGTATGAGGTGTAAACATGTCTAGCCAAGTTCAACATAAACTCTGAAAACTGATGTGTAACCATATCTCAAAAATCAATGAAAAATTAAACTACTGTACTGTACTGCATTACCAAGACACGTGTTGTTAGCTTGCTTCATCATCAACCCTCCGTCCAGCTTACTCTATGAGAGCCAAGATAGAACAGTTTTAAACCAGAAAATAGATTGGTAATATATTCCATCTGCAACACTGTAATTTAACACATATATATACAGTACCTCAGTATTGATTAAGTACTCACATTTTATTAAACTAGTTCAATAACGTCACTAAGTCAAAAGTGAGCATCATGTACGTACACAACTTATCAGAATTATTGTCTGAAAACTTACTTGTATATCGACTGAGAGAGAAACTTCTATAACAAATGGAACTGCAAGCATATGTTAAGTGATACGATGAAATTATAATTGGTAAAAAAAAAAAAAAGCACCTGAGAACAAGACCTTCAAAATTAATCTTTCTTTTTGGGTTTCTTAGGGTTGCGTGACCGTGACTTGGCCTTACACAGCGGGCAGATGGGAGCGTTACGGTGGATCTGTTGATGACAGCTCAGGCAAGACTTCATGGGAGGTGGCTGTTGTCTGTAATTAAATACAACAAATTACAACTTGTGCCTAGAATGCATCATAATAATACAAAATTAATGACGAAATTATATTTTTTTCCTAACTATCTACAGTATTACCTTCACTCCTCTCCCACTCATACATAGCAGATCAAAGGATAAAGAAATCACAAAGAAGAAGAAGGGAAACAGACAATGAAAGGAAAGGCCAATGACAACTACAGTGCCTGAAATATCCTTTTTTATAAACTGTACTGTATTCTATGGCCCTTTGGGGAACTCTCATCTGAAGGGGCAGCCATAACTAAAAAACAAACTGACCACCCAATCACCTCACATCTCCTTTGTCATCTCTATCCCCCCTTATTTCCTCTTCATTGTACTTTTCCATCTCCCTGTCATTAACTAACTCACCTGCTACATTTACCCTATACAAACCTCTTTACTGTTCTCTCCTCCTGCATCCTTCTTACATGTCCATACCCTCTCAGTCAACCTCTTTCCATCATCTTATCATTTTTACTTAATAGTACTCTCAAATATTTTAAATCTTTAATCTCCTCTAGAATTTATACTGTCATTATTATTTTACATTTTAATTCACCAGGTCTTTCTTTACCATTACCTTAGTCGTCTTAGTATTTTCCTTCCACCATACATTCTGTTAAAAGGTTTTCATTACATTTTGTAATCCCTGTTCCCTCTTCACATAATTAACTCAAGATGTTGTCCAGTACCAGTAACTCTTACCTTTGTCTCTGTCACCGCTATACCCAGTGAACAATAACACGCACCTCGCATCCCTGTCTCGCTCCCACTTTCACCTAGAATCTCTTACTTAGTGCTCTATTTACTCTCGTAGAATACCTTCCTGCATCAACCAGTTCACCTCCTAGTCCATAATTCATCAATATCTCCCATTGTGCCTCTTCATCCATCCTACCATATACTGTACCTTCTTCAGATCATTAAATATTGCATATCATTTCCTCTTTTCCTATATAACTGACTTCTCTCTCTCTCTCTCCATATAATCTGTGAGATGGGGGTCTCACATCTAATGGAGCTTCGATATAAAAGAATTTCATTTATATTTAGTTCATTAAATAGAAGTTTCACTGTACAACCATTTTTTTTACCTGAAGGCTGGAGTGGGTGGCCCTGGTGGAGGAGGCAGTGGTCGCTGATCAGCTTTGTGAGGAGTTGTTCGAAGAGGTGCTTGCAGGGGGGCTTGAGGGGACAAAAAGGAAGGTGGGGCACTCATGGCACTCAGGGAAGACAAACTCAGGCCACCACCACGAAGGTCATCATGATCCATGTTCCACTCAACTCCTGCCTTCTCAAAGAAACTGAAAATAACAAATGTCTTAATATATATATAATTTCAATAGTAATTCTGCAAATGTAGGCTGAGGTTTTAGCTACTCACACTAATGGTTGTTAGTTGTATCTATATAGTATCTATGTAACAATATAATATAAATATTTTGGCAGCGTTACTTAAGAACAGAAGGAGTTAATCTTCTTAAGTGTCATATACAGGTACACTCACTATTAAAAAAACTATGTTAGTTATATTTTCAGAGTAATGTAATAAAAGGTCATTTCACCCTTTAAATTATAATAAAATTTTTAACCCCTTCACTACTGGGATGCCACATTTAATATTTTATTTAGGTTAAAAGTTCAACAACTTTATGCTAACTGTAAAATACACAAAAAACTTCTAAAACTTAAAACAAATCTTGTACAGTAGAACGTTGATATAACGCGAGATACTTTCCAAGAGAGGTCGCTTTAAACCGAATTGGCACTAAATCGACGTGTTGTTTCAATGGAATAATTTAGTTTGGTACTTGAAGGAAACACAAAATACTAAAAAGACTGAGTCTACCCAGATGTACCTCAGGCCATCTCCTAGAATAAACAAAACATTGATTTTTGTAGTATTATGTTAAAACAAACACTCATAAATCAACACAGCTAAAATTAAGGGATGCGAAATGGTCTATTTACTGGCTGGGAAGATGGGGGGGGGGGAGGGAGGTGAGGTGATATGTTTGAAAGTTGATGCCAAGGTTTAGTGCTTATTTATTTATTTATCTGTCCTTTAGAGTGACTAAGTTTTTCTCTTATAAAATGTCAATGAACTGACAAGGAGAATATAATTAACATTGCTGGCACCGAAGGTCTAGTGAAGTATTTATTTGTTTATTTATATCCTTTAGCTTGAGTTTAATGTTTTTGCTTATAAAATGTCACAGAAGTGACTGGGGAGAATATAATTTACATTGCTGGAATTCTTATAAGATAATGATTAATTTGACAATAATCATGCTATAGTTTGCACTTGACAAAAATTTTAGTAATCATTTAGTACATTATTTTGAGTACATGTACAGTACAGCTTTGCCCTTAATAATAATAAACAGTGTAGCATGAGCAGAGAAACATTAGGCGCAAAATTTTAAAATGATGCGCTAGATTGACTCATGCAAAATAGGAAAGATTCACTTTAAATTAAAACATTGTCCTTAATTGTGGGTGTCGCTTTAAATCAATAATCTTAAATTGAATCACTTTAAATCAACGTTCTACTGTACAGTAGTAAATAGCATGTGAAACTATTTCACTTACATATTCCCCATTTTCTCCTTAATCATTTACTCTACTCTTCCCTCCTATAACCTAGGCTGCCTTTATCTGGACACCAAACACACATTACCTTTACCTCTATAACACAGTACAGTACCAAGAGATACTTACTCAGGAGGGACGGGGTCGTCTTCGGCAGCTAAATTTGGTAGATTGAGATCATGGCCCAGCTGTTGTGTTGCTATACGGCTCACCTCCTGCTTGAGGGGATGGTACTCATCGTAGAGCCTCCGCGCGTGCTCCAGACTCTTATTGCGAAGGTCTTCGGCTGATTTTATGATGCTTTCCATCTGGGGAAAGGTATAGGCTTAATCATTAATGGTATGGAATATTATTTTCTACTAAATATCACCTTTTGTTTATCTTTTCAGTATAAACTATACTGTATGTACTATATCAGAGATTATGTTCTAAATTAGAAACCTTAAGAATGTAACAATTCAGTTAATCTGGTTCCCACATGTTACAGCTCAAGTACTCTAAGCTCCACATGTCACAGCTTAAGTATGCTAAGCTCCACATGTCACAGCTTAAGTACTCTAAGCTCCACATGTCACAGCTTAAGTACTCTAAGCTCCAGATGGTACTAACCGCATTGATGTCAGCATGAATCTGGCGGAGCTCCTCCACATGCGCCATCTTCTCCTGCAGCAGCAACTCCATCTCTGCCCTGTACTCCGCTAGACTGGCTTCCTCCGCCTGCACGACCTCTACCTCCTGGGCCAGTCTCCCTCGCAGCCGTTCCACTGCAACAACCTTGGCCCTGAGAAGTAAATTTTGTTGATTGGGGTTATATTGAATTAACCCTAGGGTCTGTCTGGTTTATGGAAATTTGTCTTACAGATGAATGAAGTACAGCATAATGTCTTGCACGTTTAGTATGGCCTTTTCAATGATTAGTGAAATGTACATATACTGAATTTTTACATCATTTAGACAATGGTAAAAGTTGTGTTTTAGTTCTAACAGCAGAGAAAATAAATCAACCAGACCTAACTAACCTACAATAGTCTAAATCCAAATGTTACATATGGTAATACTAATATTTATTTTCTTAGTAAAATGATCAAAACAGGTTTACAGTTTGAAAGGCATGTCTATAAACTATGCAGTTATACAAGTCAACATGAATATAGACAATTCTAGGTACAGTAAACAGTGTAAACAAGCCGTGGAAGTATACAGTATCCTGTGTACCTAGAGAGTACAGGTATACAGCAATAATAAACAAGGTAATGATATTCAACAAAGCTGTCAGATGCTTATTTAAGATGAGAGGCAAGGTTCAATTTATCTTGTTTATGAAGGGAATTGACAATACTTCCCAGACATGCTGGATGTAAACAATAGTGTATGTGTCACAAGTATTAGCCAATATACTTGAATACCAACTACCTGCTAACAACCCATAAACAATTTATACCAACATAAGACGTACACATAAACAAGAGATCCAATTAAGATAAAACATTTTAATCAGTAAAAAATATCATACAAGTTTATACAGATTCACAATATAATTAAACAGTACAGATAAACAATGGTAATTAGTAAGGTGATTAAGAATTACCCAAGAAAGCCACTAAAAGTCCGACTACATTAGTTTCTAAATTTTAATCTAACAAATGAGGAAATGACAAGGATACCATTTCTCTTCTGAATTGTTTTTACAAATTCAACCAAGGGGTCAGTAGTGGGCACTAACAGGGCCACACCTGGGGGGGCCAACAAACGTAAAAACTTTTGTTTCTAAACTATTTATTCTTCCAAGGCCTTATTGAAAAATGTCGCTGCACTAAACCAAGTCAATTAATGTACCAAAATATTAATTTCAACCATGTAGTTGTCCATCTCGGTTCTCAACTGATAGTTTGGTCAAAATTAAATCCAGGCTTGAAAGAACAGCTTCAATATGTCATACTCAGAGGATTCATTTCTCTACTCTCAAACCGAAAACTGAAAAAACTATGATTAATTAAACAAATTACCCCAGACATACACTATACCTTATGTCTTTAAGGGCCTCCAGCTTCATGAAGACGGCTCTCTCTCTTTCGTCTGCCATTCCGCCTGACATGTTTGGTAAACAACCATTAGTGTCAATTCACCGCTGAAATAACTTTGGAAACGAAAATAAGAAATTAACAACTAAACTGATGATACTTCAAAGAAGTGTATTTTTAATTTAAAATGATAAAAATGTATTGATAATGATATAATTAAGTAGAATACTAAATAAAACTTGTTTTGACTATAAATCTAATTGCTAAAAGATCTCTATTATATTTTATTAATAACAAATATTTACTATATAATTAATTTCGTAATACAACAAAAATTATATATAAAAGCGATAGGCTAAGACACTTTGTTTATTCAATATCTAAAACTTATTTTCATTGTATAACACCTGGAGCAGGAGACAGTGAGTTGACCTGGTGGTGCTGGCAGCTGTAAACATCAGCAGATTTTCCTTCAGTTCCTCAGTGAAGGTTGTCGAGGGGAGTATCAGCACCATGAACAAGATCATCTTTATTTTCGCCCTTTTAGGGCTGATGTCGTTATCATCGGCAAACGGTGAGTGGTCGTCACATCAAACAACAGACTGTGCCATTCATTATATTTAGATATTAAAACTCAATACAAAACAATATTATCTGCCAATTCCATCAACAGTCGACTAACGACATTGAAAAATATTTCAATCCAACCGTTGCGTAATGTTATGTATTTTACTCCATAATGTTCTGTAGCAGTACAACGTGAGGTAGTTGAAGTGTGAAAAAGTTTATAGTGAAGGTAAATGAACATATAGAATTACGTTTGTAACAATCATGTATTTTTAATGGCACGTTTCCAAGACTCGCCACAACTATTGTCTTCTAGGAAACTTCCCGGCAAAGTTCCATAAAAAAAATATTTCATAAATTATAGGAAAATGTTGAGGTCGGGGTAATTATGAAGTTAGCTTTTGTTGCCAAACTACCCAATTAGAAAAAAAACATAAGAGTTATTATCAATAGACTTATGCTTAAAATTATTTCCATCCAAGGATAATTGTATTTAATACCCAACACCATACACGTGTTTATGAAGTGTACTCTGAGCTGGTTCATTTTCATTGCCTGGCTCCTCGGATGGCTCTTAACAAATGAAAACAAAGAATCAGTGAACTGTACCTATATTACACTTGACTTGCCTAGTGCTCTACTGAGTCAAGAAAAATTACAACCACCACCATTAAACAGGATGTTTGGGGGCTATGTTTCTAGCGCTTTCTGATTCAATGTGTACTGGTAACTAACAGGTACACTGCTAGAGTTGTGTGCCTGGAGATATCCTTATGTTGTAGTAAGTAGGCTTCGACAAATTAACAGTCTTGCTAATTTGACATGATTCAGAATAGATTTGTTAAATTGCTGAAGGTTTGTAGCACCATAGCCTACTTAGTTCATTATTTGTTTTTATGTATTGATTATTTTGCCTTGACTGGCTAAGTTCGTACTAATGCTATTTTACAGTGAGTGCGCTTTGATTGACTAAGTACTTTCTGTTTAATATGCCCCCACTGGCAAGGAAGTTAGGTAAGGTTAGGTAGGTTTCTTTGGTTGGTTTAGGTCAGGTTCTTTTAGGTTCAAGTAAATGTCGCCTCTTTTATAATGATAAGTTTACATACACAACGTAAATATAGTTAGGTATGGTTACAGCTACACAACATTCGACTTGCGGTGAAATAAATGCCAAATGTAGCCAGAGTCAGTCAAATACAGTACAGTATAGTTCTCATGTTCTTTGCCAGTAATAGACAATTAGAGCACCTTCACAGTAAAGTAGCTCTAGTAGGAACATACTGGTCATGGCAAAATAGCCACTGCCTTTTTTTAAGTAGTCAACTGTCATAATGTAGACATGCTTATGGGCCATTTTGTATTTAGCATTAATGTCCTGAGATATCCCATGGTTAATGTTAATCCGGTGGTATTATTGCAGCTTCAGCCCCAACGCAATTAGAGCAATTTTGTGTTTATCATTAGTTATATCTCATCAATAGGAACAACTTTTTCTAATACCACTTTCGTCACAAATGGATATTAAGCGATATAGTAAATTCACGTAAGAACTTAACGTAAATCTGCAATCACTGTGTGTCGTCTGTTTGTTTACAACTGAATTGCTTGGTCTGAGCGTACCGTACTCTCACTTCCACAAAAAAAAAATTACACCATGATGTTTCAGCATAGTTGATTTCATTAGTACCAGATATCAAAATAAGTACTTTCTGTTTAATATGATGTGGACAGCTAGGAAGTTAGGTAGGTTTCTTTGGTTGGTTAGGTCAGGCTCTATTGGGGGGGGGTGATGACTCAAACAAACGGGACAGATATGAAGGTCAGATTCAAATGAATCGCCAAATACCATGGGAAAAACAAAAGTTTATGGTCAAACCTGTAGTTGGGACTGAAACTGCAAATTTATCAATCCGGTTTGATTTACTGTGCAGTATTAATAATAATAATAATTAACGGTTTATTGAAAAAGTTCTGCAGCCCGAAGGCTGAAAATATACATTGGACATAAATGACTTATTACATACATTGGTGGTTTAACAAAAGCCTTCATTAGAGAAAGGTGAAGGAACATACAGATTATTGTAGGTGTTGAACAGCAAACACGTAGTGTAGTAACTCCCTCCCAGGCGGTGTGAGGAGGGACCTCACGTGGTGTAGTAATTCCCTCACAGATTACTACACCACGTGTAGTATACCCTTGTATAAGACCAAAGGCTGAAGGTCTCACTATGGCTGTGGCTGTCCACCATGTACGGTATGAATCAGCTGTCCTTCCTCATTGAAACACAGCTGAACCAACAGTTGCTTTTTTTTTTTTCAATATTCAACTGAAAGGTGAAAAGGTTGATTAACAGTACTGTATTTAGCTCTGGGAACCTATTATTCAAAAGCAGAATATCAACCCCTAAGAGATCTTTTAGCTATATTCTACAGTACTAGGCACTACATACACCATAGTAAGACAATTTTTTCTTGCATACACTGTACTAGCCTGGAAAGATTTGTTTACATCTCCAAGAAATGAAATCAAACCATCCACCGCAACCATTATGTAAACACACATATGGACTTTTGAGTGATTGATTGAATTTATTAGGAATATAATTATCTGTACAATAGAATATAATGTGGGTATGAACAACAATTACAAGTACACACTCATCCAATACTGTAGTATACTTATATCCATTGAGGGCTGCATGGCTAAGGATTTAACCTACTAGAAGAAAAACTGAGATAAACAAGATGGTTGCCTGTACAGTATTAAATGTCATCATAGAAGTTTAGTAGTGAAATCAAGTACAATAATTATATAAAAGGTGTGTCTTGGCTTACTAGATACCTATACTACTAGCAAGCTACATCTTTCCGTGGGTATAGGTGGTTTTGGTTGAGTTTGGTTGTTTTTTATTAGCTATTTGTACATTAATTGGTTCCTATGTTCAGTCCCCCCCCCCCCACCAGATGTGCATCCCATGTATTAAAACAACAGTATTGGTGAAAATACTATAAAAAATGTCAATAAGACTGTGGGACATAGTCTTGTGTAATAGTTATATAAGTCTTAAGCCCTGATTGTACAGTACAGTAGTTACTAGTCAGAATTTATGAAATATGTTAATTTAAGTTTGTTCAAAGAAAACATCAAAAACTGGTCTGTAAGAAGTGTATGTTTACCTTGGTGATATATTACTGTAGTAGGAAGCATGCAGGAGAGTGTGTGTATAAGGGGGTTAGTGGGTCATTCAGAGAGTCCAGAAAGGTTAAAGGGCAGTTAGTGAGAGTGACTATTAAGATTAGATCATTTTTTGTTTTCTTATTCTAATTTACCTTTTTGTTTTGTCTTTTTATTTTTTTGTTTAGGTAGGACTTAAACAGTGGGAAGCAAATAAGACTAATTTATTTTGACTGCTTGAATGGGAAAATGAAAAAGAAGAAAAGAAAATGTTACAATTGTTGTCTGTTACAGTACACTTACTGTATAGTAGCTATTTCCATAATGATACAGTACATTATTGCAATACACATCACAAAAAAAAACTTTTCCTGTAAATTACTGATAATTTTACAATATGCACTTAAATTAATGATACAGTTGCGATCAGAAGTACATACTGTTTATGATTCCACAACTAGGACTGATAGACTGTTCCATAGGTCTACCACCCTCTGTGTCAATACTGTAAGTACTTATACAGTATTCGTTCTGCAAGACAACTTGGCGAGCTTGTAGTTATGTCCTCTCGTGTTGGTGGTGCGTGACATCACAAAGAAATGTTCCGGATTCATGTTTTCCATCCCGTTCAGGAGTTTGAATGTATCAATGAGATCTGACCTATTGTGCCTTGCCTGAAGGGTTGTTAGTCCTAAGGCCCTCGATCTGCTTAGATAATTGAGATGACATAGTCTCAGAATTATCTTATATTGGACTGTCCGAGGGTAGCAGATAACTTCAAACAAACAGTACTCTGTTGTTAATAATATAGATATCATCACATCACTCATCTCTTCAGTTTTCTTGGTAAAATTTCCTTTTCAACACACGAATAGGTTAATAGTGGAGCAGACGGTTAGCACCCAAACAACTTTATAGAATTTTTTCATATTTTCCATAGTTGTTGTTTGGATGATATTAAAAACAATGATACGACAGGAGGATTTAAATAAACTTCAGGAATGGTCAGAAAAATGACATGAAATTCAACACCAGCAAGTGCAGTGTACTTAATATTGGAAGAACAAATACTGTCAATGTTGTTACGAGTTGGGGATTTAGAATATAGTTAGAAGTCTACCCAGATCCCAACAGGTAACAACAATAAAAAAAACAAAGACAATCGGACTATAAAAGGGTAGACAAAGGTTGCGAGTTTTCGTTGTGTATAATAAAGTACCATGAATTCCTTAACAAAATAATCAGCTTCCTATAAATTACCCTTAACCATACTTAACCTAAATATTAACAGTATATACATATTAATACGATCGGATGCTAGATGCTATAATTGATTCAAGAAATTTCCCCACTACTGACGTCAAACTGATCGGCCGGTAATTTGACGCTGATGCTCTGTCTCCCTTTTTGAACATGGTGCGTGTCAAGACATGCTCGAGCTTAGAACTGTGATCGGTAAGTTTTAACGCCACTCAGCCATCATCCTGTTTGACATTTGATAGTGAACCGGATGTAGTCGGGAGGGTGTGTGGTTGCGCGATGCGTTTGCCACGCGCACGTGATGCGAACATGTCCACTCCCAAGCACTCGGGTGTCACACGAACAGCTTGCCCGCGACCCGCCTTGTGTAATCTCGTACTGTTTTCTGTACGAGATATTGGATATTATAAACATACATTGGCTTTCACAATATTTGACTACTGGCGCGGTCATTGTACTCAGGGATGCCATGATATTCAAACTAAAATATGACGTAAATTAATATTCCTACATGTATACTCACGCGCCATAGTTTCGATGCACCATCTACCCCCTATCCCCTATCCTGACGCGATGGAAGTCGTGGTCTTGGCTTCATACCAAACGTCCCCCCCCTCCCTCCCACCCCCTCCCCCCATCGTTCAGTGGTGCAATGTGGTAGCTCGAAGCTTTGCTGGATTGTACAAATAGCAGTTCATGGTGTAATGTTTGAGAATTTGCAAGATACGGTTTTGTTTAGTGTCTTCACATTACTATTTATCATCGCTATACTATACAGAAGACCTGACTACGATTTCATTTGAGCCAGAGTGTGCATCGGAACTATGGCGCGTGAGTGTACATTTATCTACACATAAATGCATTGTACACTTATCCTTGCACTACAGTCTACTCAACATACACAATGCATGATTATCAATGTGCTCTATTGTACGTGCATACACATATTCATCATGCGCACGTAGACTGCTATGCACTAACACTACCGGCTAGAATGCCCTCTCCGTTGCATTCATCGTCATTGATTATGTAGCCCCAGGGACGTGCTGTGGATATACGGAACAGTAATTGGTCTTGCCCCCCCCCCCCCTCCAAATCTATATTTTACGCGGTGTATGGTGCTTGTGTGTCTTGTATTTGTATGGTGTGTGTGTGTCTTGTATGTGCATGTATAGTGCGTGTCGTGCGTGCATGTATGGTGCTTGTCGTGTGTGGAGTGCATGTCTTAATGTGTACCTGGGTGGTGTGTTTGGGACGTCTATCTTATCTTGAAAGGTATACGGTCCACGGGTGGTGGTGGGGTAGCTCCTGTATCCAAGTGTGCGTGCGTGTGTGTGTGTGTTTAACTTTTCCTTTGTCCTGAACCTAACTCAATTACAGTACTGTACTATCAATTTAGATTTGTTTATGGAGCTTATAAAAAAATACACAATGGTGAAGTTGTACCCTAGTGCTAATGTTTTTACTGGTTGTAGGCTAGCCAGGCGTCCTGCTTTAGGCAGGACAGTCCTCCGTCCTGCGCCACCTCAAGCAGGACGTTAATTTGTCCTTCTCTTTTGGGCCTGTCTAAAAAGAATTTTATAAATTACCTTACGTATTCTAAAACAGTGGGAACTGAAGGCCACAATAACAATTGACATTTTTATTATAATTTTATGTAGTTCCCTTTGGCAACACTACGCGCGGACCCACAGTGTACGTGTACGAGACCAGTCAAACTATCAATCAAGTACACATCGAGTCTGAGACAGTTAGTCTGCCGAAGGCCGCAGTGCAGACTGGTTGACTTTATTTCTTGATGTAATTAAGCCCCTAAAGAAATGCCGAAAAGGAAGAATACATTTAACCATGAATTGGCCAACGGATAAAGATTTATTCCTAAAAGCAGAAAAGGTGACTTTCATGCATTTTGTACACGATACCGTTGTGCTGTGGATGTTAGCAGCACGGGAAAAAATGCAGTTGAACGGCACGCTGCCACAGATAAACATAAAATTAACACTCGTATTGCCGGTACGTCATTCTTGTTAAAATTTTTCTACCCAGCTCGATCATCTCAAGATGACAAAATAATGGCTGCAGAACTGTGTAAAGTGTATCATGCTGTGAAGCATCATCAGTCATACAGAAGTGTTGATTGTGGAGTAAAAGTTGACAAAGAAATATATAGTGACTCATTGATAGTGAAGGGTGTAACATGTGGGAAAACTAAAACATAAGCTGTGTGAAAATATTCTAGCACCGTATTCTGTACAAACACGTGTGGAGTACATCAAAGAACATGGTTTGCCCTTTTCACTAGCAACTGATGCTTCAAACAAAGATGCAACAAAGTGTTTCCCAATACTTCTGAGATACTTTAATTTTGAGAAGGGGGTGCACCATGTGTTACTTGACTTTTACAGAGATAACTGAATCATCAGAGGCCATAACAAATATGCTACTATCTAAACTAGAGATGTCAGGTCTGGATCTGAATAAAGTGTCTGCATACACTGCTGACATTGCAAGTGTAAACTATGGAAAACACAACAGTGTTTATCAAAAAATGGAAATGGCTCAAAAAACGTTATTGCTGCAAACTGTCTGGCTCATTTTGCACAATGCAACAGGATTTGCTACAGCAAAACTGGACATTGATGTTGAAAATATTGTGCTCAAAGTGTATAACCATTTCAGCATCTCAGCTAAAAGAACAGCACAGTTAAAGGAATTTTGTGAATTTGTGGAGGTTGATAGTTGCAGCATGTTGTGACTAGATGGCTTTCTCTTTTGCCAGCTATTGACAGAATACTTAAATGCTGGGAAGTCCTAAAAAGTTATTTCCAGAGCTTAGGTGAGGAGTGCCCCAAGGTACTATAGAAGTGCTTTGGAGATAAAGGAAATGCCTGTGAATCGTCAGAGATCTATTTCTTCTTCCTCAGTCACACTCTTGAGTTGTTCTCAGACACTATTGAAGCACTAGAAGCCAAGATATTTAGCATAACTTCAGTATTTAAGCTAATGTCTGAACTGAAAAGCAAACTTGAGAGAAGAGTAAAAGACTTTTTTTGGCTTTGTAGTAAACACCAAGCTTAGCCAGCTTACACCAGATGTGTCTAAGAAATGTAAAGCAGACTTCATTGGTTTCTTTGAAAGAGCCATAAAGTACTTAAGTGACTGGTATGACTTCTCTGAAAACAGCTTTCATAACAAAGTGTCAAAATTGAGCCTAACCTTTTGGAGAATTCTGTGATGCACTCAAGGCCTGTTACCTTCAAGATATTGATATGGATGAATTATATGAAGAGTATGGGATTGTGGAGGCAAATATCAATACTCCTCAGATGATAGAGAACCACAGTGAGGAACGTTATCTCAAGCTGTTCAGTAAATCTGAGGTCCCTTTCACAAATCTGAAGAAGGTGAGCGCTTATATCTTCTCTATTCCATGCAGCCATGGTCACACAGAACGAGTTTTTTCAATGATGACCTCTGCTTGGAGAAACGAGAGAGACCGTCTGCAAGTGAACTCAGTCAAAGCAGAGCTCCAAATCTGTAACAACTTCTCAGAAGAGTGCCCAGCCATGTACAAAAAATTACTGGCCAACAGAAAACTCTTGGAGATGGCAAGTAAAGGGACGAAATACAAAGAATAGACAGCCATTATGGATGTACAAGATATGGTAAGTAGGCTACTTCCTTTAGTTTGTGAAGTAAGTTAATTTGGTTAGCATACAATATGTTGTTCCAGCAGGAGTAAAAATGAATATTCATTTCTTTCAGTTCATTATTTATACTGTATGAATGCATGTATCATGTATGTAACATATACAGTGTGTTTAAAAAAATTGAAATTTGAGAAAAACCACAAATTAGCCTTCATTACATTATAGTGATATTTGACAAATCAACACTTCTTAGTATATTTTGTATATTTTATACAACTTTTTTATATTTCAACTCATCATTAAACATGTTTAATTTAGGTTAAAAATAAGTGTTGTAAATTTGTTAAAAATTTCTTCCTTTTTGGAAATTTGGAAATGGTCACCCTAGTACAGTAGTATTCGGCATCTGGTAATAGGCTTCTGTGTTTACCTCACTTGATACCCGAGGCACCGACTCTGTACAGAGATAGTGAAGAAAATAAATAAAGCGAGATAGTAGTGACTAGTAACGATGTTAGTAAGCAAATAGACACACTAAAGCCTAATAAGTCATCAGGTCCCGATGAGATATTTGCCAGAGTATTAAACGATTGTGAGGAAGAGCTTAGTATGCCCTTAGCAAAGTTGTTTAGCATGTCCTTAAAAACGGGTGTAGTCCTAGAATCCTGGAGGATAGCGAATGTAATACCGATTTTCAAGAAGAGATAGATCACTATCCTCTAACTACTGTCCAATCAGTCAAACATCAATTGTAGGCAAATTACTGGATGCAATCATTTCAAACTATTCGAAATCACCTGGAGAAGCACAAGTTGATCAATGATTCCCAACATGGCTTCACAAGCAAGCATTCATGTCTGACTAATCTATTAACAGTCTTTTCATCTGTTTTCAAATCAGTGGACGGGGGGCACATTTGTGATGTGGTATATCTCGACTTTAGCAAAGCCTTCGACAGAGTCCCCCATGAAAGACTAATATGAAAAGTGGAGGCTCATGGCATTAGGAGATATTCTAAAATGGGTTAGGGTGTGGTTACAGGCAGGAAACAGCGAGTGAGCATTAACGGCACTAAATTCGATTGGAGCAACGTCACTAGTGGAGTTCCCCAAGGCTCAGTACTTGGACCATTATTACTTATTATATGCATAAACGACATAGATATCGGCGTAGACGGCAACATAAGTAAATTTGCTGGTGACACTAAAATAGGGTGTGTAATTAAATCTGATGAGGACTCCGCAAAACTACAGGAAGATCTAAACAAATTTTTTGAATGGTTTGAAAAGTGGCAGATGAAATTCAATATGGACAAATGTTAAGTACTCAGTATATGAGATGTAAACAGGGAAACCAGATGAACAATGATGTCATTGAGAAATCCGACTGCGAGAAAGATTTAGGAGTAATGATAAGTAGGAATCTTAACCCAAGTAAACAATGTGTAGTTGCTCGAAACAAGGCTAATAAAGTACTTGGGTTCATACAAAGGAGTGTTAGTTAAAAGACTAGTGAGGTCATCCTAAAACTATGTCTTGCATTTGTGATATCTTCTCACTTGGATTACGCAGTTCAATTCTGGTCACTGTATTACAGAAAGGATATAGAATCCTTGGAAAGAATTCAGAGGAGAATGACAAGGCTAATCCCAGGCATTAGGAACCTTGAGTACAGAGACAGGTTAAAGCATCTTAATTTGCACTCTCTCGAGAGATGTAGAGTGAGGGGCGATATGATAAAGGTGTATAAATGGAATTCAGGGCTGAACAAAGGGGACATTACAATGGTACTCAAATTATCCAACCAGGAGCGAACTCGTAACAATGGTTTTAAATTAGACAAATTTAGATTTAGGCACAAATGGGTAAACATTGGTTTGGAAATAGAGTAATGGACGAGTGGAACGAGTTACCAAATATCATCATTTACTCGAATACGCTGGACAGCTTCAAACATACGTTGGATGGATATATGAGTGATAGGGGTTGGGTGTTAATGGGACTGCCCAGTATGGACCAATAGACCCACTGCAGTTTCCTCCATTCTTTAGTAACTAAGTATATGCGGATGTGTTATCACTAGCGTTGATTACGGTATCCTGATAAGGTTTGGAGGATGGAGGGGGGGAGGGAGACTCTCAACGTTCATGGTTAGGATATGTGGATGTGTGTGATAATTAGTGTTGCTGTTTCCTGATTACATTGGGGGAGGGGGGGGGGTGGAGGAAGGTTTTGTAACTTTCGTGGATTATATATATTAAGAAAGTATGTTTTCCTTTGAATTGTAATAGTTGCATGAATTTATTTTTATTACTATTATTACCAGTATGCAGTATCTCACAAAGGGGCTTCGATTACTGTGTGTTAACCCCCATGTACAGTCAATTCTTTAATTGCATAGCATGGTTAGTAATTACACTATTACTTCAACTGTTAAAAATTATGAGATAAAACTGTGTTGTGTAGTCAAACCATAAATTACTTTCATCTTTTGGTGCGATGGAATTTAAGAAAACAAAATGAACGTAACCCTCTCCTGCGGTTTCGGTAATGTTGACCAACGCGATTTTATGAAATATTTTAATATTTCCAAAACAAAGTGAGTTTAACTCCAAATAGGGAAAATTCCACCCCCTTTTAAGGTAATGAATGGCGTGACCATCAAACGTTTTGAGAAATGCATATGTACTCCTGGGAACATCTTGGAAATCTGGCTGGACGGGAATGTAGGAAAATTGGCACAGTTGGGTTTAACTTGGTCTCTGGAATGGCTTCTTTTTCTGTTAACAGAATTTGTTTTGGCAATATTTGTGTAAAAAATGTATCAATTTGTAGTCAAGTATACTCTACAGGTACAGTATATGACTGTTCACACCTTGTAGCTTCACACCATAACAAGCTCTGTGTTGAAATTATAGATTATCAGAGCAGCTCTGTTAGTGAATTATCTTATCTTTGATATCTCATTATTTAGATATTTTCAGTGGAGATGATGTACAGTATTGTAGTAAGTTAAACATTGATCCATGGGTATTTACTATAGTATTTATCTATAGATTATATAAATGACTATTTTGATTGGCTCAAGAAATATAGAAATCTCAAAGGAGGTGGGGCAATATTAGGGGGAAGGGAGTGCTGGTGATACTGTATAGAAGTGATACAAGTAGCACTTTACTGTAACAATTAACATACAGTATTGTAGATCCTTCAATCAAATGGGTATTAATTTAGAATTGAGTTAACAAGGTTGCAGATGATATTGCAAGTCATTGAGTAATGTGATTTTAAGTAAATTTTAAGACAGACTATTGAATATGCCATACAGTGTACGAAGTGTCTCCGAAATACGTCGGAGTTAGGAACCAAAGTCACACAACTTTAAGCCAAATGACAGGACAATGAGAGTGTTTACTTTGTCAATGCCAGTGGTAAAATTTCTCCCATAGGAAATAATATAATAAGGTATGAATAGGGACTGGAATTTTAAGTCATTTTCTACTTATAGATTAGAAAAAGTACAGGTTATGTGATAATATTGAGTAATTATATACAGTATGTGAATTTATTTAAAATACTGCAGATCTTTCAGTCAAATGGATGTTGGTTTTAAAATATTGAAGACAATAATCCAGATCATGCAATAATGTTTGTAATGCAGATAAATGTCGAGATATTGGGAGCTGCGAGGAGTGCATGGCTGCCCCCTGCCATTGGCTTGATTGTTTGGAACTGCAGTATTGTGAGAAACGTGATATCAGCCCAGAATTATGTCTTGAGACACGGTGTATGTGGCTTCATTTGTGCATACGATGATAAATATTGCAACTAACCTGCTCTTAATCTACAATTATGTCATTGGCTGAGGTGTAATGCTGCTACTGTATGTATGTACAGTACTTTCCATCTAATGTACTATTTACAGCATGTTTATTAATAAGAATGGATGCTCTGCTTGTGAGGATGCTGTGTCATGTATATACACGTACTGGTGTATGTCATTCATAGCTAAGGTCAGTGAACATCCAGATTCTCCATACATCTTGTTTGAAATGTTATGTCATACTTTATTTTTCTCCCACTTGAATGAATTTGTGAAAGCTGATGGAGAGAGACTTATATGATGGATCTTTATTCCCTACCTAACAAGAGGGGTTTGGGTCATTACCTATATTTATGTCCATCTGAATTTACTTTCTGGATAATAACCCAAATATCAATTCAAGTATATTAATGAAAGCTTTTACAGTATCATGTACTTATTAATGAATATTGGGTAAAAAAGATTATCTATCTTTCAAGATTTGTATTTATTGAAACTTTAAATGGAATCCTGTCCTAAAATTTGATATATTTTGGGGACCTCTCTGTCTATCCGCATCCATTAAACAAAACACGGAACAAGAGGCTAGGGATCTGGGCCTCCATGGTTTCACTATTGCAGACCTTTAAATAAGTGAACAAACTAATGTATGTGTAGATATTCTGAGTGATGAATACAACTGTGTTTAGAGGTTAACTTAAGTGTCGGGTAATAATAATTTGCTGTGTCCCAGAGAATACTTTAAATTGAATCAGTCATTATGGCCGGTAATCAGATCTAAATGAAAACAAAAAACGTATAATATTTTGTTAATTTGGATCCCAACCTAGTATCGTATGTCAGAAGCTTCACCACAGTCTAGTTAAATCGTGTAAGCAAACTTCTCCTTATGAACAGGGCTGAATTATACATAGTATAGTGAAACCTCTTATTTAATGGACTACAGTATACAGTAAATGCGAGAGGCCAGTGTGAGCGATCAAAGACCATTAAATATAAACTTTCTTGATACGGATTATATTAGAGAACGTAGTCCGTTGTATATGAAACCTCCTCCTAATAAGTGTGTTAAATCAAAGTCTATTACATGAAGGTTTCACTGTAGCTGGATGGGCTAGTCATTATTGTCTGGGCAGGCTAGTTTTTGCATTTCTTTCAAGTAGTTTAAAGCTTTATTAATATTTATATTGCAAGTATGTGTCATTCTGTCATGTTGAAGGCCAATGAGTGTTGTGTGTGTCAAGCATTAATCCCTTCTTTAACGATGCATCTTTGCTTATTAACATCTGCTTGGAATGCTTTTCAGGGTTATGGGAATGTAATACAGTATTCCCTCGGTTAACGAATTACCTTCCATAAGAATCTTCAATTCGGTTAACGAACAAAAATTTGATTAACGAAATCCTTATGAAAATCACTTTTTGTTGTGAGCATCAGCTGATGGGCTAGTCTGCCAATACGGTAATCTGTTCTAGGTTTACATTCGTTTCCAATGGAGTAAATATCAATAAAGTTGTGCTCTTTAATATTTTTGCATGTTTTATATTAAAATTATTAGTCATTTTAACATTTATATTAACATATTGATAATATATGCAGTACAGGGAACTAGTTTGTTGTGCGCCCATCAGATGCGTGAGTCGGCCACAAGGCGTCACTTGGGCTTTGAAAACAGTGGAGAGAGCATCTATTTTGTTGGTGTCTTAAATATTTTTGCATTTTTCATTGAAATTATTGGTCATTCTGAACTTTAGTTAACATATTGATAATATATAGTGCAGTGCAGTGTTAATTTAAAGAAAATAATCTTGAATTACACCTAATGAACTTAAAATTTTATTGGTGAAATTACTGCATCAAGCATGGGTCCCCTGAAAGCTGATTTCTCTTCCATCCCCACTATCTTCTTTTCTCCCTTGTCTTCCACCCCCACTTCTAATTCCCATCATCATCAACCAGGAACCTTCTACATACACACCTCAAAGTAAGTGTACCTTACTACATTTTTTTTTTAACTTTGTATATACTTTTCGGTGAGATGGAACCAATTACCCAATATCCCATTGAAACAATGGATTCGGTTAATGAAATTTTTGGTTAAAGGACGACCTTCTGGAACGAATTGTGTTCGTTAACCGGGGGGCACTGTATAACGTTACTTTTTTCTTAGTTTACTAAATGATTATTTCACTGAATTTACTTTTATTAGATATATTGTGTATACCCTCTACCATACCGTGTTGTGATAATAATATTAATAATTATTGCAGTTGTTCCTGCAAACTAACGGTATGCATGGAAAGATTGCTTTTTAGTAATAGCCTGTGAACAGAACTAGACTAAGTTAATCTTAGAATTTGTAAAGTTAAGAAATACTGTATATGTACTTATATTCATAAACTTATGTAGCTCTTTGTGCATTAAGTTTTATCACACTTAATGAAAAATATATTTATAGTATTTTTTTTATGCAGCTTCACCCACATAAATATAAAGGGACTTGTACAGCATGCTCTGATAATTCACGGATGGTACCCTGGATTACCCAAGAATGCCTTAAGGGTAGTTTAAAAGTTGCTAGCACTTTTGCAGCTGGGACAGGGAGCCATTCATTCTTGGGACACTAATTTCTTTTACCTGTATTGTATGTGTGTAATAGTAATAATTAATGGTTTATTGAAGGAGCATGGCAGCCGGAAGGCTGAAAATATACAATTACATAATTGGGGAATGGGTCTTTTGATTTACAAATGATATACAGGTAACATAAGTGATACAAGTATGATGTATAATAATTAGGTGTTGATAATTTTTACAGTGGTTGGGACTGAGCTGTTCTTGTAGCAATCAGTTCGTGCTCGTATTGGCTGGATGTGGTTGGGCAGGTATGTGGCCAGGACAGTAGCTTGGGGCAATGCTGGTGTGCTCCATCCTTCAGGTTAGGTCAGGTCAGGTCAGATCCAGCCACACTCAGTATTACACTGCTGTGTTTTTGTGCTTTTCCTTGGAGTGCATTATAGGAACACTGTTTGGTAGTCAATCGTTCACTAATCACTTGAATGTTTAGCTGAATAAATCCCGGTGTAATAAGGCTGGTAGGACGTTGGGATATAGCAAGGGGGGGGGGGGAAACAGACTCGACTTAGCTGCTCAAACTGGGAGCGCCTTCAGGGCACGTCTTGTCTCGCTGGTGGTTGACAAGTGTGTGTGTGTGTGTTTACACACACACATGCAAATATATAATATGTAATGGGAAAATCCTCTCGCAAATAATCAGAAACGAGACAACAAAATACAGTACTGTACATTAAGAAAGTGAGAGTCTACCCTCAAGTTAACTCTGTGCTTTGTTATAACTTTAATAACAAAGCACGGAATTGAATTTTTGGTAGACTCATTTTAATACATTTTGTTGTCTTGTTCCTGATTATTTGTGAGAGGATTTTCCCATTATACAGGTTGACAACCCTTTATCCGAAAACCGAAAAGCTCTGAAAACCGAGTTTTTTTGTGGATCATTTTTTTTTTTTTTTTTTTTTTTTTTAAACAGGGATTAGCCCACCCAGGCATAGATCACTGACCCACATCGGGGCCTGGGGGGCGAAAATGTAATAGTAATACTAATTATTATAATAATAATAATAATTATTCATGGTTAAAAAAAATTTTAATTAAAAAATACACCAAAATATAACAATAATAATGATAATAAATTATAATAAAATTTATAATAATAACAATAATACTGTATCAATAAAATAATAATAAACAAATACAAGAATGAAAAAAGATAAAAAGTGAGAAACACGACCTAGACCTATGAATAATTATTATTATTATAATTATTATTATATTTTCGCCCCCAGGCCCCAATGTGGATCAGTGACTTGTGCCTGGGTGGGCTAATAATTAAAAAAAAAAAAACTTAACCATTCTGAAAACCGAAAAATTCCGAAATGCCTCTGGCCCCAAGGATTTCGGATAAGGGATTGTCAACCTGTACTTTATTCGTATTTTTTCTGTGTGTCTACACACACACACACACACACACACACACACTTATGTACCATACAGGTAAAAGAAATAATTGTCCTAAGGGCAAACACATACAGGAATATATATTTTTTTGCACACATGTAAAAATGTAACCACCCCCCCCAATCAGCAAATGTTAATAAATGATTTGGCTATTTGCGGCCATTTTGAGAGCCTAACCCCCGTGAATTTTAAGGGCATGCTGTACCATAGTATACCTTGATCCATAGATAAAGGTCAATAAATTTGTCACCATTTACACCATCACCCACACAGTAGCCACACCCGTCACCACCTGCACAGTAGCCACACCCATCATCGTCACCCACACAGCCACACCCATCATCATCACCCACACAGTAGCCACACCCGTCACCACCTGCACAGTAGCTACTCCCATCATCGTCACCCACACAATAGCCACACCCATCATCATCGCCCACACAGTAGCCACACCCATCATCATCGCCCACACAGCCACACCCATCATCACCACCTACACAACTGAACTATTTGCCATACTCACAGCCCTGAAACTTGTTGAAGACACTGCCACTGACAGTCTCACCATCACTGACTCCTTATCCTCACTACTTGCTCTTGATACCCTAAAGTCAAGTTCACTCGCTTGTCTCTGAAGCCAGACACAAGTATATGTGTCTTGTTGACAGAGGTATCGGGGTCAAGCTACTGTGGATTCCCTCTCACATTGGCATCTGCCAACATGATAGAGTTGATGCCTTAGCTAAACTCGCATTCAGCAATGACAATATTGAAAACAATCTAGGACTGTCACACAGAACCCTGAAAACTGTAATTCGGAAAGAGCTTGTTGATGAATTTGAAGCAAGTAAACAAGTACAAACAGACACTAGTTGATCCATAGTTTACCATGATGAGATATATTAAATAAAACAAGATCACTAAATTACAAGATGCTGTAACTGCTAGACTAAGGTTAGGATATACGTAAGTACCTCTGGCTGTATGCCCCTCAGGCAGATGTGAACAAAACTGAATGTAAAGTGTGCAGCCAAACATGGCTAAACACTCCAACACTTCGTCTTAGATTGTGAAAAAATTGAACCATATAGGGATAGAACCAAGCATACTGTATGCAATGGCGCAACACTTTACCTCTGATGGCAAGATAGCTGGTATGCTAAAACTATCTACACTTTGCATCTAGTACCTAATAAAAATTATATGTACCGGTGCCTATCTACTTATTGGACAAACTAAAATCGTTACGAACCACAGTAGTTTCCAGACCACAGAATGCCGGACTAGAGAGGTACAACCTGTATATCATGTTGGAATGTTGGCACTTCCTGAAGGTATTGCTTGTCACTGTACTCTTTTCCCAGTACTGTGCGGTGGATCAAAGAATGCAAAATCCTAATAGAAAGAGAAGGAAACAGTGGGGGATCTGGTACAAGACTTAAGCGTACAAAATGACGTGAAAATAAGACAACCAAAAGAAATACCTACACATACTTACTCATATTCTCTGCTGTATAAAAATGATTCCTTGCTCTCCACATTGAGTCTTAATACTTCATTCATTTCACTAATCACACATAAGGTTGGGAAGATCCACTCATCAGATTAGGCACGCACTATTTCACTCTTAGCATTTTGATACATAGTAAGTCAGTGTTAATTACAGTTAGTTTTGAAAAGTTATCATAATGCATATCAATATTTATTTCAAAAGAGAGAGCTGTAGTATACTCTGATTTGCATACTTAGAGAACCATTTGACAGGGCACCATGTGAGGTAGTCTTGGTGTTGTATGAGGACGATAACACTTGTGAGAGTGAATGGCAAGGGGAATGAGGAATGTGAGGTGAAAGTTGGGGTCCATCAAGGGTCTGTAACCCCCCTATGTATATAATGGTGTTGATGGCATTATTGTGAGACTTAAGAGTTTTGTGCTGACGACTTAGTGTTGGTAGCCATTAGTATTGAAGGGGGTAGTGGAGAAATATAAGAAATGAAGGGATAATGGAGTCAAAGGGCATGAGACTTAACAAAATTAAGTAAAATTAATGATTTGCAGTGTGGGTGAAGGACCTTTGGTGGAAATGTGAGGGAAAAAAAGAGTATGTGCAGTCTTTAAGACGGGTGTTAACAGTACAGTAATTCAGATATATGCTTTGTTTGTGTGTGTGTGTGTGGAAGGTGGGTATCCAAGAGATGCAGTGGTGTAAATGGCAGACTGCAGGATGTTAGTGGTTTTTAAGTTTGCTGCATGTGAAGATAATCATGTAGCTAGTAAGAGCATAGGGATAACAGGACATTGTGGACTGCATTTTATGATCTGCCCAAATTGTCTTAATTGTTAAGTGGCTACTGTATTTTGACGATGTGTATTTATCCTGGCAACCTTCTAGGCAATAACAAAACAACCACCACCACATCAACCTCAACAACCGAGCCTCCAACAACAACCGAGCCTCCAACAACAACCGAGCCTCCAACGACAACCGAGCCTCCAACGACAACCGAGCCTCCAACGACAACCGAGCCTCCAACGACAACAGAGCCCCCAACGACAACCGAACCTCCAACAACAACTGAACCTCCAACAACAACTGAACCACCTACAACTGAGCTGCCTACAACTGAACCACCTACAACTGAGCTGCCTACAACTGAACCACCTACAACTGAGCTGCCTACAACTGAACCACCTACAACTGAGCTGCCTACAACTGAGCTGCCTACAACTGAGGTGCCTACAACTGAGCCGCCTACAACAGGTACAGTTTTCAGATAACTTGAAAAACATTCATTCAAGAAACTGGAGAGTTGTAATACTGTAATAATAATGAGTGGCTTGCCCTGGTAGTTGGAGTGAAGTATGGTTTCCACTATTATTCAGCCACTGTCGACCAAATTGACAGGTTCATTTACTATCTGAACCTGGTCAAACTGTTCCTTAATCAGTCCTAATTTATTTAAAAACAAAAAAACATTATGAAGTTGACTGTAGTACAGTATATGTATCTCTAAATACAATTGTATTCATCACTCGGTTGCTGTATAGCTTGTTTTCTCTGTCTGCTTAATGATATACTAGGTACACTCAATAAAAGCTTCTCAACACCTGGGCACGATGGATGTGAGAATGAGCAGATTGGGGCTTGTCATCTGGGAGTGGTTTCAGATTCTTCATTCATTTTTTCAGATTGCATAGTGCTTTGGTGAGTGTACAGTCCCCTTCACTAGGGAGTTTACAGGGGCTCATTATATAAGCATCCACAAATTGCTATCTTTTGAGAAGTATATATATATATATATATATATATATATATATATATATATATATATATATATATATATATATATATATATATATATATATATATATATATATATATATATATATATACATACATACATACATACAGGTACTCCCCGACTTACGACGGGGTTAGAGACCGACATCCAGGTCGTAAGTCGGAAATGCTTAAATAACACAGAAAATCGAAAATTTGGGTCTCTTTTTCTTCTCAGCACCACAAAACACTCACTTTTAAGCTTGTCAGCCATTTTAAAGTGAACTACAGATGAAAATTTTGTCTGTGTACTGACTTTGGGCCTCAAAAATACATAATTTGACCAAATTTTGGTACGACTGAGGCAGGTTGTAAGTGCGGGTGGACATGAGTCGAGTCGGTCGTAAGTCCGACATAGATATAAAAAAAAAAATTAAATAAAAAATCTACAATGAAATACAGTACAGTAAAAGTAATAAATAATGAGGAATGGATACAGTACAGTGAAAGTAATAAATAATGAGGAATGGATAGTGTGACTGAGCACTTACCTTTAATGTAGTCAGCTGAATGCACATGGGGCCCCATAATTTTCTAATTATACATGGAGACTACATTAACTGAAAAAGTTTCGGTATAGAAAATGCGTGTCATTTTGGGATGGTCACAACGGTGTCAAGGTGTAAGGGTCTAGCTGTATGTGTGTGTGTGTGTGTGTGTGTGTGTGTGTATATATATATATATATATATATATATATATATATATATATATATATATATATATATATATATATATATATATATATATATATATATATATATATATATATATATATATATATATATATATATATATATATATATATATATATATATATATATATTTTTTTTTTTATGATTCCATTGTATGATTATTATTGTGAGCTTCCTTTTGTCAAATGTAAACACGCAGGGCTGCCACACTGAACGAAACCTGACGAGCCCCTGTAAATGCACTGGTAAAGGGGACTGTACAATGCCAGGGATCCCTTCATCCCTTGCCACTTAAAATTATCTTTGGATCTTTCAAACTGATTATTTTGGCTAAATCTTGACTTAAATAGTCAACTAAGAAATGATCAGAGTAAAGGCTCAAAAGAGGAGGGAAATGTAGGAAGAGTGGTGCAAGGTGTGTATAAAAGCTAATAGGGAAGGGCTAAAATGAGTAGAAATTTCCACAAAGACTTTTTAACAAATCAGCTGAATTCAGACCTCTTGTACAATCCTTAGTCACTTGGATACTGTACTGTATACATTAAACCCTCAACATTCATGGGTTCATCTAAAGTGATGAGGTGATCCACCCGAACCGTATTGGTTATGAACTAAAGAAGATGACGCAACCAACTGTAAAATAACTTTAATCCTTAGAGATCATCATCGGGGTACAAACTGGAAATATTTCAATTTATTGCCGTGTCATTCATGGGGGAGACCTCATTACATGATTAACAAACCACAGTCTTGCAGCTGATGGCCATTAAGGTCGATTCTGCTGTGGTCCACTTCAGAGAGTTACTAAACATACTTTTCTATTGGTTTTTATTCAGATCAGTTATACAGGAAGGTGTCACGAGAGCTTTATATCCTTACTTGTGTGGAACCTGCTTTTTCATTTAATCATCCACACATCTCATTTACAGGAGAGTCTACTAGTTCATGCGATTTATCTCTCTTAATTTGTATGTCATGTCACGGATGTTTCCCACAAAACAAAAGTGGTTTCAAGTAAAATCATATATGTGTTCCAGAAATCCCATCTACAACCACTGTGACACCTTGTCCTACCCCAGGAAGACATTTTGATGGTTTCAGCTTCTTCGGTAAGTGCAAAAGGATTAAAATTCCTGGCAATAAAGAATTGTCTCTTGTTTACCTTTATGTGTTGGTGGGATTGATGTTTGTGTCATTTGAAAGTGTCAACTCAATTAGACATGGATTTTATTGAAACTTCTCAGTACAGTACTTACAAGTATATGAAACTTATTAAGGTTAATGGTCCAATTAACCCAGTTGGTGTTTTTACCATATACCTGTATAGATAAATTTGTATTTATTGCTATAACTGGATGAAAATTAGCTTATGAACTGTATATGCTGTATATTATGTTACATTTAATATCTCTCTCTCTCTCTCTCTCTCAATGAAAACATCACACTTGAAGATACTAATACCCTCAGCCTACCGTCCTCGTGTACAAATTGACTGTGATACTTACCCTCTGCATTAATTAACAGTCACATCACATGAGTTTACACCCCAATAATTATATATCTTAGGAGATGCAGTGTACTATATTTTTATCTTTGTTTTAGGTGGAATTATTTTGGCAATAGCTATGATGGCTGTGGCTTATGCTGCATGGCGCTTCTACCGGTCACGTACCAGCAGCAACTACCACACCCTGTAAGTAGCCTGGTGGTGGTGGGGGGTTGCTGTGCACACCACACATCACTTGGGTGTTGCTTCACGATCCTCAACAGCTGTTATTTAGTATCGCTCACATGAAAACCTCAGTTGCTCTGTGGAAGATTTAGAGAGTCAACGAGTTAAATGTTGTACAAGTCAAGTGTTTAGCAGTTCCTGCCACATGTGCTTTAGATTTAAACAGTGCTTAGACAAGTGCCTATCACGAGAAATGTTTATCTCAACTTGCTAGTTGTGTACTGAGGCTTGTTTGTTTTGTTATTTTATGTTATGAGCACAGTTGATTTTCATTATCTTCCACTGTTCTGAAGATTTAAAGCCTGGCCTCTTTTCTTTTTTGGGGTAATTTTTGTTTCTCTGTATGAGATATGCATCACTTTGCATAATATTTGGAAAAGATTTTCTCTCGGTTGAGAGAAAACAAACTTTTTGAAGATGTTCGAGAAAATTACTGTGTAGTAGATCTTTTTTCCGTCTCAATGACATATATTTGCTCTCAAATAAAAGACTTAGTTAATTTTAGTATATGTTTATTTGTAGTTGACAGAATATTGCTCACAATTTTGTAAATGTTCATATATGAAGTATTATTAAATGTAGACTCAGCTTATTGCTTGGTTTCATAGTTGTTGTTTTCTAAGTTAAGTTACAATCTTAGTATAAAATGAAATGCATAGTGGTGTCTTATATACTGGACTTAATTATTGTAACTAGTACCATTGTTAAATATTTTTGGCCTTTGTATTCAAATTGACAGTGGAAAGTTTAGTAGATATGGAATTTTTTTTTTTTGCTTCCTTACGAGGGGTGTCGGCAGTAACAGAAGAAGAGACCCCAGCTGTCAAATGAGTCATGTCAAAAAGTAATGACTTTGTTAACAATAATTTTACTGTCAAGGATTCCTGATACCATTGGCAGCACTTACATAACATATATAACAACATTTATTGAAGATTTTGTTTTCATTTTTAGTAGATCATAACCTGGATAAGATCAGGGATCACCGTGAGGAGTTTAAGGCTTGTGGGACTGTTCTAGATGATTTTTTGTCCACCATGATTGAATTTTTTTTAGCTCTTTATTTACACTGTACAGTATGTGAGTAACTACATGGTTTGTTTTATTCTAGTTGATCGCATTGGTAACACTTCATATTGCCCAACAGCATACCCTTGAATTTTCTTAGTGGTGATCCTTGTTGCATAGGTAAATGTTTTCTGTACTTGAAGTGGCCATTTGTCTCACAGGGCAATTAATACAGAAAGTTTACTTGACCTGCTGGACTTTGTACTTGTCTGTTTATATAAATTTTCCTGGCTCTGGGAAGGATGACTGAACCCTGTATATACTTCATGAATTAGCTTATGCGAAGAGCTGCTTTTTTTTTTTTCTTGGATTAAGTTATTCAGCACAATTAAATTTGCCCCTGCCTAAGTTGACAAGTATACAGGATAATGTCACTAATGTCACTCATGAATATCAGCGACTAGTGGAATTGTGAGCTGTGATAACAAACAGTATCCTGAATAAGAGGTGTGGATGAACAACACAAGCATAAAGTCCTGATCCCTTTTCTTTTTGCAATTATTATTATGAATAGTAACCATTAAGGTGAGAATGTGATTCACTTGTGATATGGAGGATTACATAGGATGCCTCAGTGATAATTGTAATTTTCTTCTTTCAAGGCAAACTGTGTACTGATGGAACTGTAAGTGATGCTTTATTTTATTTTCATTTATTTTTTGCTTCAGCATGTTTTGTCCCCCCTCCCTCCTTATTTTCAACCTTTGTTTTAAGTTGCGGCACAGTTTGATGTTGTATATTTAGTAAATTCTCTTCAGCTTTGTGATAAAACTCTTGATTAGGTGCCTTGACAACTACTTCATATGAAATTGACCTCTTTTGTAATGATTAAATATATTAATGCTAGGAAAATAATGATTGTCTATGTAACAGTTTAGCATTGCATTTTTTGACAAGAAATATAAATGTAGTGTTTGTAATTCTTTCATCAGAGCATAGCAGATTTTGCTGTTCACTTGTTAATTTTTTTAGCGTTTGCCTCGTGGACTGGCTTAACCAATTAATGTAGTATTTTCTTCTTTTTCAAGTTAGCAAACTGAACTATCTTAGAATTGTGTGTTTTTCAAATTCATTTTTAGATAAAAGGTTTGTGTCAAGATATATTTGTGATGAGGCTAAAGCCAAGTTTGGTGTATAGATTTAAATCCCTAGTACTGTACAGTGTAATAGGAGTTTTGATGGGATATACAGGTATATATATATATATATATATATATATATATATATATATATATATATATATATATATATATATATATATATATATGCAAGTAAATCACTGTAGCGTGATCTAGGTATATGCTGATAACCACAAGTTCCCATGTGTAATTCACTTCAGTACTCACCCCTGAAGATGTGAATTACACCTATATATATATATATATATATATATATATATATATATATATATATATATATATATATATATATATATATATATATATATATATATATATATATATATATATATATATATATATATATATATATATATATACATATACATATATATATACACACACATACATACACATACATACATACATACACATATACATATTCCATCACTGTTTGGAGCTCATCCCATATCCGTCCATTGTAATGTGAAAGAAAATTGAAGTATTGAGGCAAAAAAATAAAGCTCATGTTTGCGGTAATACAGTATTGCCAATAAAAAAGAGGAGTTACCCATAAAGTCAACTAAACATCAAAATTGTAATCCAGTTATATTTCTAGCTTCGTAATGGGTACTCGGACATCTCTTATGTAATTATCCCGAGAGATTTTTGTTTTACATTAATTTTTGTAAAAGATCAAGACTTAAAGGTTGGAATTTTGGGGAGGGGGTGCCAAGTTCCAGCAAACACAGCATTTATTTTTCTATGCATGATATACCTTAAGCAGTGCAAACAAACCCCTAGAAGGTGCACAGGATCTGTGCAGGTGGCGGTAACAACTGGGAAATATAAGACGGGAACATCTTCTGGGGACCATGATTCTCTGAAGATGGTTTACTCAAAAGTGTTGGTCATTAATTGTTTTGTTTTTTGCTCTGGTTACCTGCATCTGAGGTTCAACAGACATGATGACTAGTTGACAGTCAGTAGAACTAATAATATTTAATGAAGGAAGTTAGAGAGAAGAGTCAATATTATAATAGAGAATGATTTGGTATTTAGCCTCATTATTAATTTTGCACGCAGTGTACATCATTAACAATCATTCTTGCATGCATGACATTGACATGCACTTGGAAAATAGATGTGAGACATTGTTGTTGTTATTAATGAGGATATAGTGATTATTAATATACTGTACCAACTGTGATTCAGACATTTAATTATTATCCTGTATGTGCATTTGTATTGTAGATAATTAAATTTATATACAGTACATTAAAACAAAGGTTAATACTTTGGGAACATTGCTTGAAGATATTTACAGTTGTAAGCCAAAAAAAATATCATAATAATTTCTCATAGAAAACAACTTTTTATTGTAAAAAAAAAGTTGACGATTATAATTTTCTTTCAACCCTTTGTTTTATTGTTTTCTTCAAATATATTCACTGTGCTTCATTGTAGCTAGTGTAGCCTTTTGTGTCTTGTGTTAGCATGAGTAAATGTTGGTACAGACTGGGCTTGCAACTGGAGGTCTCTCATTCATGATGCCAGCCATCTTGTGCCTCAGTACTGATGTATGTAGAGTCAGATCCAGCAGCCATAGGGAATTCACTCTTGATTCCAGATGCAGGATTTTCAAAATCAACCAGTACCTGAAATTTTAATCTGCCAAAACTTATTGCTGGTGCTCACAGAATTAAAAGATGTTAGCCCCTTGCCATTGTTGACAATTACCTCCTGAGTACCCTTAAGTATATCTTAAGCTAAAACAATATAAAAGACCTTAGCCCTAGACACAGACAAGTGTCTCTTGACAATTACCAGGTACAGTACCTCCTGAGATAAAACTTTTTAAATGATCCTTACCCCCAGGCACACAGCCATTCTTAACGAGTACTTTGTGGGATAAAAGATTTTAAAAACCTTGCATGGGGAATTCCCTCAGGCTCCTGTTGGTTTTTAGTTTTTTTTGTCTTACTAGTGAGGGAAAGGATTAGCACAAGTGACAAGAAAATATAAGCTGTTTGGTCTCGCTCCTTACACCGTATTGTGGATGGTGTTCACTGTACTGTATAGATCACCCATCCTCTATTGGCTGGTGTTCAGTATATACTGTAGGTCAGAATGGCAGGCTTGGTTTATTATTATTCGTTTAAGTTTATATCTGGTAACTCATTGTATAAAGATCAAAATTTTGGCTGTTTATTTCAAAATTGCCCTATCAGATTTTCCAATGAATTTTGACAACTTTTCTGAATGTGTGTGTATGTACATCAAAAAGAATATTTTGTCAGAATATAAGCTAAATTATATTGTTAACCAAGAGGGACCATAGATACATGCTAGAGACTTGGAATACAGTTGTTGGTATTTTAATGCAAAATATACTGTGATGTATACAACATATTAACTAATCTAATTATGTTATTTGGTTATTTGTAACAAACAATTGTATTGTGCAATTAGTTGACCTAAGAGTATTTTCTTTCTTTTTTTGTTGATATATATGTATATATACAGGTTCAATATTTAAGTACTAATTGCTGTAAATGCATTATTAGACTTCTAATCATGAAGGACATCAGCAACAGGTTTATCATAACCATCACCGGCCAAATGGACCAATACAACTAACTTGTGTGCCAATTCTAATTACTTTAAGCACAAAACATTTATACAGTACTGTATTTATCCAGTACTAAGAGAAAATGTATTAACTCGAATCATGGTTAATTCCTTAATATAGTTGTTCTGTTCATCACTGTCTCT